TGTTTTTAGTAAGTGTGCAAAGACACTGTCAGTAAAGCACTCTTTCTTTTTAAGTTTAGGAAGTGGACCAATGTTTTCTATCAATGTTACATTGAAATAAAATTGCAATACAGTGATACAATTAAATGACGTAGGTGGTCAGTGAATGCTCTTTAACTACTTCAAATGGGCCTACGAATGAGATGAATGTTTCTCATATTTATAAGATGATGATATAAAACATAGGATATGTTAAATCCTTATGTCTAAGGTATGAAACAACTACAGAGTGACCACTACTTGAGTTTTAGGACTGACACAGATAATAAAATACCACAACAAGCCACATTTGACACGTAACACACGCAGGACAGGGAAAAGTAAGCACCTCTAAAATCAAGTCTACTAGACCACAATTTTTGCTGTGGGCTGTTTAAATTGGGCGTAGTGCTCAGTTACATAGAAATAAATAAAGGTAGTTCACCGTGTCCTGTGCCACAATATAACAGATTAGCTATGATAACAAAAACACGGCGAGTAATAAGAGACAAATACCGCAGTTAAAATCTGTAAATGCTGTTAATTCTGACTTGAAGATCAGGCCATTTGACACCTGTTCACATCTGGAAACACGTGGATTGATGTAAGCCGCTGTCAAAAGGTAACTTTTAATCCGGTGTTACAGTGTTACGGTGCTACAAGCTTCATGATAATAATTCAGTGAACAGAATAAAAAGAAAACAAACCCACGACCATTACCTGTTTCTGCTCGTGTTGTTTTTGTGTTTTTTAACTTGACAGATGTAAACGCCTCACGTCTCCCATATCAAAGACGGCTCCAAGCGCTTCTCATTGGTCCAAGTTTTGTCAACGATAGGTAGAAGAAAGCTTTACAATGCCAACAGCTTCATTTTCCCTCCGTCTACACGGCCCTAATGCAGATGTTTCCCCTCACAACTCTCATCCTTCGCCGCTTCGATGACGACTAAACGACGTTTTTGAGAAAAGTACGTCCTTTTTTTCCTTCACCCCTTCACGGCCCCCTCGAATTAAAGTTAAAAATCGTAAATACACACACTTCTTAAAAGAAAAAAAGGACGAAGGGTGACAGCGTGGCAGAAGTGAAAATGAAAAGGCAGCTGGTTGAGTCCTGACAGGGGACAAGCTGTAACTATCTCATCTCGGTCCAAATCTGCGCTGATAAACCGAGAACACAAACCGCCGTCTCTTTGGAACCACACTCCTTCCGCTTTCTGGCTGTTCCCCACCGAGTCCTCTACTTACTCACTAAGTAAGAACACTTTGGGTCTTGTCTGCGTTCCTGATTTAAAGCCAAGATTGCAGATTTTTAAATAGTATACAGTTCTGTCCCACCCCTTATTGTCCCACCGCACAGGGTCTGCTCGGCCTGGAATGTGTTCTCATAGCGGTTTTCCTGTTGCTTGCTAAACCTCTCATTTTCCTTTTCCCCTGTGTCTGCGCCGCACCGAAAGGAATGCGCTTCAAAGGCCCCTCTATGATACAATAATATTATTGCAAGTGAAGCCAAGAAGAAGCTAGCGCTTATTTATCTATTTTATCAGCTGTTAAAAATCAAAATTCTGCTTTTGCACGAGTTCAGAAGCCACTGCAGGGTTTATCCTAAACTTGAGATCAGACTGTTCTCAATACATTTCATGTAACAGATGTCTGGTGTGTCTGTTTTCTTGCAACAACCAATTCAAAAAACCTTGTCAAAAATGTAAATATCAGGTCCAGCACTTCTTCTGTTGAGCAGTCTGTGAATACTCAATATTTAATGCATGATTTCCTGTCCACCTGGTGGCAGCACAAACAGGCTGTCACTACAACAGCCACACATTAGAAAGTTTTCAAGCTATGCTACTGTCCTGCAACTAGTGTATACATCTATCTTTGAAATATGTAATTTTAATTAAATTTCAGTTTCATTTATATAGCATCAAAGCTACTGTCACCCTAAGCTTTATATTGTAAGGTAAAGGCCATACAACAGTTAGCAATAGCGCCCTATGAGCAAGCACCTGGTGAAAGGCAAAGCTGCTTTTTAACAGGAAGATAGAACCAGGATCAGGAAGGGGCGGTGAGAAGAAATAGAGGAAGATGGGACAAAAGAGACACAAGAAACCCAGCAGCCTGGGCCTATTGCAGTATAACTAAGGGAGGTTTCAGGGTCATGGCGATCCATATGATAAAATGCATTACTCTGTTTTGGTCTCTGCTAATTTCTGACAGAAATATGTGACTCTTTAGCTGCTAAAACATGGTTTGTTATGTACTGTCACCTCACAGCATGGAACAATCAGCTGGCTGAGGCCTCTCTGTGTCACCTTTGCATGTTCTCCTTGTGCCTGCATGGATTACCCTTGATTCCTACTACAGTCCAAAGACAGGTTAATTTTAAACTCATCAGTGATGAGTAAATGTTTTCTTGCATGGTTTCTCTGTGTTAGCTCTGTGTTACACTGTTGGCTTGTCCAGGGTGTATCACCAACGCTTGTATTTGTGATAGGCCCTGACCCCAACATGGATAAACAGTTTAAAAAGCAAGGCTTTATGAAACTGGTTGTTTTGGCAAAAAAGAATGCAAAGTGAAAATATGAACATGCTTGATTTTATCATCATTTTTCACTTCTAATTACCACATTGTAATGTTTTTCAGAGAACAATGGCTAGCAAACCTAGCTCGAGATTCAGAGATATGGTGAAAAACACGATTTGACAATGAACAACTAGAGCAGACTGTGGACGAACTCAGTGCTTTCAGGGTTGCTTGGACAATGGGGCACCTTGATTGCTTGAGTGTTGAGAGTTAACAGACATGTTTAACTCTGCATATGCATCTTTATGCAAGTCAAACTTTAAGTAGCAATGAGCAAAACAAATTGTTAATGGAAGGTGACCTTAAGACATATGTTTCCTTTAAGAAATATATCCTGCTTCTCTGGATGTCTAATGCATGTGGTGGGAATTACTGTGTGGGTTACATGTCCACTCAAGCTGGGTATAGCATATTTGTGGTCAGCAGTCATTGTGTGTCTTAAGTGGCAAATACATTGCTGCCAGAGAGGCTGCACTGTGTGACATTACTTCCTTCAACAGCGCCTGAGAGAGATGTCTTCATGTCTGTAATATGAATTCCCCTCCTGGTTCCCAGGCGTCATAATCTCTCCTTTTTGGCTTACGCCAGCAGACACAGCTGGAAGCTCTCACATCAGCTGTCATGTAGAAGAGAGCAAATTGTTCTTTTTGAATTCAGCAGTTATATTTTCTTTCCCACTAATCCCAGAGGTTTGAAGAGCTTGTTTCCTCTGGGATTTTCTTAAAGAGTCTGTTTTTTGAATAATCTAGAGTACAGGAAGTGTTAGTTGATTTAAAAAAAAGAAGCAAATTGTTGATAAAGAAATGACCTTTTTGACTTGCTCATTTATATCTTTGAACAGCCAATAACTTAGCCACAGACAGCATGGTGCACACAACACATAAGCTAAAATGTTGCGTTAACTTTGGTCATAGTTGCCTTTACAGGGTGGTACTGCGTTCTGAGAGTTTTGCTGCTGAACAATCCAAACACCCTGATCCAGTTTATGTGTATAAAGATGTGTGTTTACTGCTTGAGTCTGCATAGACATGGCAAGAGTGTTGTTCTTTCAGTGAACTCTAGAGAGGTACTTATTTTAAGCCTGACCTCAAGTTCCCCTCTGAGGTGGGGAAGTTAGCCACAAACGTGACAATGTTCCGATTTTGTTTTTCTGTTTAGCTGCTAGTTCATTGCTGGCTCAATAATCTTCAAAATGAGTCATATAAAACACAATCAGTTTGTTAGGCATAAGATAAGATTGATTTTACGTTATCACCCATGAAAGCTAATTGTTGTGTAACGATATTGCACAGCGGATTAAAAGATTACAGGTCAGAGTTCAAAAGTCATGCAGTGCCACTGCAGCGAGTGCATCACGGGCTTGCTTAAGAAAATCTATTTAACTTCATTGTGAAAGTGTGATCAAGGTTACGACACGGGGCTCGTCAGTCACATGCAGATCAGGCAGGAAAATGTTGCCCTGGCGGTGAGTCCCTTCTATATTTTTCATTAAAACAAAACTGCAAGAAGGGGAACGTACCCGTATAAAAGAACTGTTACGAAGGTAACCTTGAATTCTTTTCCTGTTCAAGTACTATGCATCGCCAAATCACCACTATTCCCAGAAGTAAATCCCAGTTTGCTTATGGTTCTGGTTTGGAACAAGCTGGCTGCTGACCTGAGGTCAGTTCTAACTCCGTCTACAGTCAAAAACAAACTTAAATCCTTTTTTATTCTCACAGGATTGTATTTAATTTCTATTTTATTAAGGCATAGTAGATCAGGGTACTTTAAAAATATTTTTACGTTAAACATATTGAGTCTCTATGTTTTTAATAATCAACATTACATCAAGCGTGATATGATTTTAACACAGACCTTTTTCACAGTTTCTGAAAGCAAACTGATGATAAAGAGGACATTTTTGACTTGCTCATTAATACTGTTGAATAGCAGGCACAATAGGCCTACATATGTGTTTATCTTTTACGTAAAACACATGTAGTTAAAGTGTAATCAAATCACTGCATAAATTAAATTGCCATTGCCAAACGGTCACTATGTGATGACACCAAACACTAATATTTTGTCAGTAATAAAGACCAACACACAAACCTTTGCAAAGGTCAGTCAGTTTATTCCAAACTTACACACACACACACACACACACACACACACACACACACACACACACACACACACACACACACAGTGATAGCAAGTCTCTGTTATTGATTGCTTTATGCTTTTTCAGCTTCTGTTGTACTATTGGAAGAATCACACTGTGGCTTATCTCCCTTATTCTTGTCCCACAGCTAAGGAGGCTTTTGAGAAGGGGAATAATCCCATCATCATTGATAATACCAACATGCAGG